CAGGAACCTTTTGGGTGAGGTGGCGCAGGTCAGTGTAGAACTTGTCCTTTTTCGGAGGGTCAGCATGGAGAGTTGGGGTAAATATGCTGAAGAGAACAACATGTTGCTTGTTGTGTAGTGGGAGGTGTAGGGAGATAATGTGATTGGAATGACCTGTCAGCAGACTTTCAAGTTTGAGGTGACGGAGTTTTTAATCATGAAACCAACTCCTGAAAGGTCTTTCAGTTTTGGGTTTGCCTGACCAATAAGAGTGTGTAGCCCGCACCGTGATCTTTGAGGCTGCCTTCCTCTTGGAGACAAACTTCACTGAGAGCAGCAGTGTCGATGTTGAGTCATGATAGTTTGTGTGCAATCAGAGCAGAACGAAGCTCAGGACGTCCCCTATCCACAGTATCAAGCACGGTTCTAATGTTCCAACATGCAAGTGTCAATCTGAACACACCTTTGGAAGCAGGTGTATGCTTTTGTCTCTTTGTGTTTGTTTGGCTGCATCAGAAGATGCCCGTTGGCTGTGGTTAGCCAACTGGATGGAGGGGGGAGATGATCTTTGGTTACGCTACTTTCTCTAGGCCCCTCTCTGTGTGGAGCAAGCAGTGCTCTCCTTGAGAAACGCTGCTTGGTCATCCAGGATGCTGCCAAACAAGACTGTCATCTCTGGGGTCAGTCTTAAGCGACCCATGTCCTGAACTGCCTGCATGCAGGATTGAGTCTGCGGCTTCCAGTGCACCTTTATCACCTGCTGTTTTGTCCCTCTCCTGTCCCTACAGGACTTCACAAATGTGGGCATAACCTTCAAGCCTGCACAATGGATTTTTTAGGTGAGGCTCAGCGTGTGCAGGACTGGCCCCACCCTCTACTCCTAAGCTACATATGCCAGGGCCTAGCGAGCTTGGACAGTGATAGCAAAGTTCTCAGGATGTAGGTTTAGTTAGAGTATCCTTCTCTTAGATGGATGGCCTTACAGGTCTAAACAAGCTCCATCTGCCTGGGTTTAGAGTTAGGGTTGTCCTTCTCCTAGGATGGTTGCTGGGAGGCTAGCAAGCCCGTCCTACCTGTGGACACACTTAGTCTGACCCTTCAGCTGAGACCTGTCTGGCATGGAAGACCCTATCGGAGGCATATGCCACCACTAGCAACCTCATAAGGGCACGTAAGCTTCTCCCCCATTACAACGGGGTGTCTGTGGATATCACAGAATTATTGAGGCTGGAAAAGACCTCTGAGATCATCAAGCCCAGCCTGTGACCCAACACCACCACATGGGCCAGACCCTGGCACCAAGTGCCACATCCAGCCTCTCCTTAAACAACTCCAGGGACTGTGACTTCACCACTTCCCTGGGCAGTAGATGCACACGTCTTACTGTTTTATGAAGGAGGAGTTGGCTTATGACATTGAAGTCTGTTCACTGAGGCTTTATAATACACCCAGACAGATGCACATGTGTTGATATCTACCTATCTAGTGAAAGGAAAAATGCACAAGCAGTAAATGAATCCTCAGGCCAAAGTGCTTTGAATACTATCAAAAGTTCTAACAGCAACACAAACTCAGCATAGCTGAATAAATGAACCAGTGATTAGGGACAGCATTTGCAGAGAAGGTACAGAGTTCTATGTGTTGAGTTTTGGGCACCGCATAAAAGACATGGAGGTGCTGGCATGGGTCCAGAGCACAAGTACTTGAATTGACTGGCTTTTTGTGTGCCTGCTTATACAAGTTATCTTTGAAAGGAATCAGGTCAGCTGTGTGGGTGAGGAAGCTGAGGTTCATTTACTAAAGTCTGTGGGCCTTGGTACTAAGACAAAGGTCAAAAACTCCGAGATAAAAAATGGTTTTAGAAAACAGCGCATGTTTGTAGGTGCTTTTGAGGGATTGTTTTTGTTTGGCTGGTTGGTGGTTGATTGTGTGGGGTTTCTTCACGTACACAAAGCAGATCTTTCTTAGATAGACAGATATCTGCTGGCTGAAATAGAAGGTCAGAGAGCTGAACCATCCCTGTCTATTGTTTCAAAAAAGTGCTCTTGCTTAAGCCTCTTGTACATCAGGGTACTAAGCTTTATGTTAGGGCACTAGTGAAGACTGTTTGTAAGAATACAAAATACAGGTGCTGTTTCACACCCTTGCTTTCACAAGGAATTTACCCTGGTAGAACTGGACAGTTCACATGAAACTCCAGGTTGCAGGTGTTGAGATACGGAATCATAGAATTGTTGAGGTTGGAGAGGACCTCTGGGATCATCAACTTGAACCGTCAACCCAACATTACCATGACCACTAGACCATGTTCCAGAGTGCCACGTCTACACATTTTCTGAACACCTCCAGGGATGGTCACTTCACCCTGTCCCTGGGTAGCCTGTTCCAATACCTCATCACTCCTTCTTTAAAGAAATTTTTCCTAATATCTAATCCAAACCTCCTCTGGAGCAACTTGAGCCCATTTCCTCTTGTCCTGTCATTAGTAACTTGGGAGAAGAGACCGACCCTGACCTCACTACAGACTCCTTTCAGGTAGTTGCAGAGAGCAATAGACCTCGCCTCAGCCTTCCGTTCTCCAGACTAAATAACCTCAGTTCTCTCAGGCGCTCCTCATAAGACATGTTCTCCAGACCGCTCCAGAGCCCCGGTAAATGCAGCCCCGGTAAATGCAGCCCCGGTAAATGCAGCCCCGGTAAATGCAGCCCCGGTAAATGCAGCCCCGGTAAATGCAGCCCCGGTAAATGCAGCCCCGGTAAATGCAGCCCCGGTAAATGCAGCCCCGGTAAATGCAGCCCCGGTAAATGCAGCCCCGGTAAATGCAGCCCCGGTAAATGCAGCCTTGAGCAACTTGAGCCCATTTCCTCTTGTCCTGTCATTAGTAACTTGGGAGAAGAGACCGACCCTGACCTCACTACAGACTCCTTTCAGGTAGTTGCAGAGAGCAATAGACCTCGCCTCAGCCTTCCGTTCTCCAGACTAAATAACCTCAGTTCTCTCAGGCGCTCCTCATAAGACATGTTCTCCAGACCGCTCCAGAGCCCCGGTAAATGCAGCCCCGGTAAATGCAGCCCCGGTAAATGCAGCCCCGGTAAATGCAGCCCCGGTCAATGCAGACCGGATAAAAGCAGCCGCAGCAGCCCCGGTAAATGCAGCCCCGGTAAATGCAGCCCCGGTAAATGCAGCCCCGGTAAATGCAGCCCCGGTAAATGCAGCCCCGGTAAATGCAGCCCCGGTAAATGCAGCCCCGGTAAATGCAGCCCCGGTAAATGCAGCCCCGGTAAATGCAGCCCCGGTAAATGCAGCCCCGGTAAATGCACCAGGAAATGAAAGCCAAGGAAGCAGAAAAAAATTTTCTTGATCAGAGTATTTCAAATTCAACCGAAGCTCCAACCCTGTAGATGAGCAGCAGATTTGCTCTACAAATTTCCAGTCTGCCACCCTAGTCAAAAAAAGCATCTACAAGAGTGAGTAAGGACAAGGATGCAGTTCGAAAACACCCAAACAGCCTCTGCACAACAGGACTTAGCATATGAAGCCAGCATTGACTACATAGCAGAATAGAACATGGAGTAGAATATCAAAGACTACTCAGTGCCTTGTACTGTATTTCTAGCCCAATAACTGCAGCTGGAGTAACAGCAGAAAACTACACACAACTGATTACCTGCAGAAGCCAGTGTCCTCATTTCCACTAGAAGCGAGATAAGCTCCTTAACAAGCCTGGTGCTCCAGTTTCCTAGAGCTTCTATCTTGTGTGATAAATTGGATAGGGAAGCAGTTTTTAAACTAAAGCTCTCAAGAGCTTTAAGCTTACAGAAGCAAGCAGCACAGCCTCTCAAAAGGCCAGAAGCATTGCTGGCTGGTCAGTCATAAGCAAGGTGAAATCACCAGCAATTAAAAAAAAAAAAATTGTTTGCTCATACTCACATAGAATATCTCTTGTTGAAAGGGAGCAGGAGACCTTAATTCATCCAAAGGCAACACATTTTGCTGTTTAACAGATCTTTAATATCAGTAATGTATGAAGCAACATCTCAGCGCATAATAGCGCTGAGACTACAATTTTGGAGGTTCTCCCATTTCAGACACAGAAAGGAAACATGAGGAATAACATGCAATCGAACAATTATCAGCTCTAGATACATCATGAGGTTTGGTCCAAAATAAACCAGAACATCAAAATAATTAATTCAATTACTGCAAACACAGCTTCTCTGAGTAAAGTTAGATACTGCAGTTGTAGTGTTTCCATTGTGCTTTCCTTCAGCGAACCAGTGGAGCCTGCTTGAGTGAGATGAGGACTGAACGCATGCGGGACACATCTTTTGCCTGCTTACTAGACTTCGGATTAAAGTCACACAGCTGAGCCACACGTTCCCACTCAGTGCCCGGAAAAATCTCTTCTGCATCATTCACAAAGGCTTCTTCAGCTGCCCTAAAAGCAATGCAATGCACTTTCTGTTATTGCCCAATATTTAAGGCACTTCTTCCCTCTTATAGGATGCTATTTCTTTCAGCATGTTTCATAAGAAATGTGACCTAACAGCTGTTTGTGGACATTATGGCTACGTAAGTTCCCACTGCCCCAACCTTGGAGATGAAAGTAGTATGTATGCTAGCAAAAGCAGTGCAAAAGATTGTTCTGTAAAATGTTGGAATACAGGTGTTTGGTTTAAAGAAGAGTTATTGAGATTTTGCCTAATGAGTCACTGCTCAAACTGCTGGAAAATAAGGTACTCCTATGCAGACATTTTATTTATGGAGAAATGCCCAAGTCTTAACTAGTTAAGCCTCTGCCACTTGATGGCTTATACTGGACACTTGCCAACCAGAAATTTATAACACCCTGCAAAGCATGTCTTAAAACAGACTCCCTTTGAGGATTTAAATCAGCCCCAAGGCCTACAGGCCATCATAAAACTATCTGCTGAGGATTTCCAATGCTGTAGTGAAGCAGCATGAATCAAAACAAATTTAAGTCATGAATCCCACACTTGTGCATGCTATAGACAAAAGCATATCTTGGCATAGGGTATGACTCATTTGATGTTAGCTCACAGAATAAACACATTTCTCCTGCTCTCATCCTAAGGAGACTCTAAGGAGGCTTTATGTGCAGGTTAGTGCCAGTAGTTTCCCAACTGTATCGTTCTGGCATTTCTATGCTGCCAAAAGCATTGCTTCAACACACAGATAACACTCCAGCATCTAGTTTACACGAACTGTGGGGCCCTGGTAGCTGAGTGGAAGAGCCTGAGTGCAAAAGCAGTAAACATCAAGACATCAAGCCAAATCCATCTACTCCAACAAGCAGTGCACAAAAAGCAGTGAAGATGACTCTCCCATGAGGGTTCAGCACTGTTCACAGAGATGGCAAGGTTACAGACATCACTATAGACAAGGGTCACTACAACTACTTTATGTGACATGACACTTTTAAAGGGCAGTGAAGATTTTTTACTTAACTGTTCTAGGCTGTAGCAAGGATGATTTATGTTTGTGCTTAAAAGTGAAGAGAAGAAAAGAAACAGAGACACCAAGTTTTAATCAGATAAAGAAAATGAAAATGAGTTTAATGCAGATGATCAGCTGGCTGAACATGCACTAGTAGCTTAGCCTATATTCAGGAAACAGGTTGACAGTTTTATTCTGCAGCATTTATACTACACATTTACACTACACATTTACTTTTGAGATATGGAAATAAAGGCTCTATTGGAATAAAATCTACCAAAATCAACTCTCTGAGACTTCAAGAAAAGTCAAACACCACCTGTAAATCCATCATTTCACAAGTCTTCGTTTACATTCACCTACAGTTAGGTAATAAATTCCACATTGGGCCTTCAATATTAACGCACTCAAAGCCACACCATGGCTCACTAATACACCTTCTAAAGGTGTCACTTTAAGAATCTGTGACAGGGCGATCTTTCAATTCAAGTCTACAAATTAAGGGAAGAAATTAAATACATGAACAAGCCAATGAAAACTGCCATCCTTCCACCACACAGAAACAAACATACTAATTGGGGCTTGAAAGCCATGGATATATTCTTATTGATCCATTAAGCTGGCAAAATGTCTACACAGAACTACTAAACATTCTCCCAGCAGCTAGTGCTGATATTCCAGTATCACCTTCTTGTACTTTTCATCTGTTCTCTAAGGACATTTCCTTCCAGACTTCTACCCTAATTTACAGCAGGTGATTCCTTTCAATTTTCCTCGGCTTATAGAGGTTTATGTACAAGCATTGCTTAATTATTTTTCTGTAGGCAAATCAGGAGCTCAATGCCTGTAACACAGAATGCAGAGTTAAACATTGTGTTTTTCTGTAGAAGTGACTAGGACTAAAACCAGCATCTATGTGAGGCTGCAGACACTAACCTACATACCCAGCAGAGCACCTGCATGGAAACAACTGTAAACCCTTAGATCTAAAGGATACTGAAGTCATGACCAAAATTCTAACAGTTTGTATATTACATGACTTAATCTAAAAGTGCTACATTGTTGTGCGGTGTATGGGATCTTCACAGGAAAATTACACTTAATTCTGCAGATCAGAGTCAGTCCCAAAAGTAAAGGCTATTTACTTATATTAGCTTACACTGCCTTGGAATATTCAGAATTCCCTTTCAGACATTCAGCACTATTTCTGATTCTCCTCATTACCTAGCTGACTAGAAAACAGAGTTAGTAGTTAGGCAACATACACATAACCAATCACGTCAGCGAAGGGTTGTTTGTAGAATGCTTCATCTGCCACCCTAGGTAACAAGTAGTCCAAAAGGCAGGCAAGCAGGCAGGAGAAAAGAAATAAGAATGAGAAGTAGGGAACACTACTGAAGGCAGTTTTAACAAATGCATTCACCTTATCACCTGAATTTACTATAATAGGAAAGCAGTTACCACATGGAATGTATCAAAGCCATTGACTCTGAGGAGCAACACAAAAGCTCTGCTACGCCCTAGAAGCTGGGACAAGCTAGTTTAGGACTAGAGTCCTAGTGTTAGCATTACACTACTTCCCATAGACAGAACATATCAGGAGAGAGATCTCACCTTGATGAGAGTTTCAAACACTTCTTCTATGCAACACTTGTTAAAAGGACCCTGCTCCAAAATAAATAGGCTGCTCTCAAATATATGCCATATAAAAGCTATGGAGGTATCATGAGCTCTGGCCACCAACTAGAAAGAGTGCCAATCCTGTTTCCCCTTCTTGGGGAACTAAAAAACTGTACCTTAGTGAATGGAAGTATCAAATCTATAATTCAGTTGAAGATCAGGCACTCACTTCTTCCTTTAGTAAGGAGTCTACCCTAGGATCCTACTTAAGCCAAACCTGCTGACCATTTTGGTAAAAATGTTCTTTTGAAAAATTAGTTCATCTTGAAGTCTGCAGGCTCCCAAAGTATAAAGCAGCCCTGGTGATTATCTGGACATAATAACACTAACAACCCTAGTGTAGAAGTACAGATCTCAGTGGTATTAAGTTAGTACTATCATATTTATTTTTACAGAGCTTGAAGTCAAAACTCCACAGAGAACCTCTAAGAAAATTTAAGAGCTTACTAGACTAGAAGCCAAGTCATTAGTTTCTGTCCCAGTGCCCATAATTAGACAATTCAAACTCAACACAAGATGGAGTCAGCATTTAGTTTGTCACTAGCCAAACTGAGTCAGGTTATTACTCAAACACTTCCAAAAGCAGCAACCGCAGGTTTTAAGATATCTAATAAAGTAATTTGTAGCAAAGACTAATTGGAAAGGTCACTTCCATAGGTTCTAAAAATAGCAAGCAAGATTGCTAATCTCAAAGTAAATAGCCACCTGTGCAGCTAGGCACATGCAAGCTAGTGGGTAAGCTAAAACTTTTTCTAGTCAGGTTTAAACTTTGTGTCTTAAGGAATATTCAGTAATTCTGGTTCATTATCTTAATACTTCCTCTTGCTATTCTTGGACATTTAATTTGAATTCTAAGAAATCTTAAAACGATACTGGAGAACCATTTCTGAGGAGAGATTACTTCAATGATATGAAGGACTAGTGCCTTCAGACATACTAGAAGTGTTCTAATCACCGTTCCCCATTACTTTCACATCCAGTACCACAACTCTTCAGATGGGTGGAGAAATCTTACCTGTTGCTAGCTTTTGTTTTCTGAAGCTTTTCATCTTGCCTTGCATACCACTCCTCCAATTCCTTTACTGCTTTCTCTTTCCATTCTGCTTCTTGCTTTCGCGAGTTGTCATCTGAAGATTCAAGAACTGATTTGTCAGTCACATTTGTTTCAGCTAGGTCTTGCTAACATTTCAGCTGTTGGCACTAGTACAGTTACTTTATCTACTCCAATAAGTGTCAGGAGATTTCCTGACCTAGGCCACAAGAACTCTAAATACCATGAGCATTCAGAGGATTAGCTAAACAGAATGCCTGTGCTACATAACTAGGACAGTCCATTTCAGTTTAGGATAGGCATTTGTAGACTAATTGAAATTCAGTCAGTCTGTTGGCCCACAAGCTGTTCAAAACCAGAAACAGTCACCTTGTTATCTTAGAACAAAGCTCAGTAAAGCCTCTGCGCTTAGACAAAGTGAGGGATCCTGGCACACAGCCACTTTTACAGTTCAGGATAAGCTCATCTGCTGTAACTGTCCCAGAAGAGGAGCAACAGGCTCAGCTCTATTCAAAATCACATTGTACTGAATGTTCTGTACAAAAAATTTCAAGCAAGGCTTCCTCCCTAATATAAGCGGAAAGCAAACCAGTTTGTAGGCTCTTGGAAGTTGTCCACAGGTAGGTATCACTGCATTTGATAGCTGTATTTAGTTTGGTTACTAGTCCATTACTTAGCTATTAGATTACAATCCACATGACAACAAATGCTTCAGCAATTACAAAATGAGCAATTGTTATCCTTTGAAAAAAAAGGCTGGTGACCACAGTGAGTTTGTTCACTCTTCTGCTGATGGAAGTTGTTAATTTTCTATCCACTTACTTGTAAGCAAAGGGCAGGCTATGTGAATACTCTTAACATTGAGAGCAAGTTGCTTGCTGACTCCTGTACCAGTATTAAGTCTACTTATTGGAAGACTCATCCAGAATTGCGGCTTACATTTAAGAAGCACATTAATTTTTTCCAAGACCCAGAAGCTACACTTGAGAATTCTGCTACTTAAGCTGCCTCTGAGTTACAAGCAAGAACACTACTGCAACAAAACACCCTCCTTACCAAGTTGCTCTAGGCGCTCCTTTTGCTCCTCTCTCCACTTGCGAATACTCTCTGGTTCTGACTGCAGTCGATCTACATGGGATATGGCAGCATAGCAGTCTGTTGGACCATTACTCTCCTTAAAGGGAATGAATAGTAATGTCATTTATACATTGACAATTTAGTATTTAGGATAACTGCCTGCAAGCTACATAAATTTAGATTATTTGAGCTGAGCACAAAACACACTTATCACATGTTATACTGGATTTCAATCTTTAACATGAAAAACATCCTGCCACAGATTACAGCAGGATTAAAGTGAATTAACACAGGACTGCCTCCAGCAATCAGAAATCAAACACAAATTCAAGTTGACTAGGAAATCAAACTGTGCCAGAGCTCTATACCTGAAGAATGCAGAAGATAACATCTAGCACCTCACTACACAGTTGTAGGCTTAGAGATCCTCCAGTTTATTAGGGTTTTTTGTTTGGGGTTTTTCTTTACAGTTTTGTGCATAGGAGTTTAAAATGTTCTCTGTAGCTTATTTGTCTACTTCAGAGACATTTGCAAACTCAGCTGCTATTAAAAGCCAATGACTTTTAAAGACATTACAGAATGTGAGTTGCTGTACTCAGCTTAGAACACAAGAGACATTTCAACATTTGAGCATCACAACAGCATGAGTACTAGCGTACTTTTTACTATACAATAGCTCAAAGACTTGCAATTAACAGGGCTATCATTAATACACTTGATTTGGAAAGCTAATTAATATTGTGCTATTTGCCCCAGAGGATACGCCAAGTCCTAATTTTATGAGTTCCCCATACTCTTAAATACCACTTCTGATAGTACCAGATGAATTGCAGCTCTTTGGACCTCCTGTAGCCTTCAGTGAAAGAATAATGCAACATCACAACAACAGTGAGATATAAAAATGTTAGCAGCAGTGAAATCTGTTTATGTCTCCAAAAAGCTCAGTGTTCACTTAAAACTCTATCGAGGACTAGCTCATACGCGGGCCTCTTCCCAAGCATTCGTTTGATTAGGGCTATCCAGCCAGCTCTAACAGCAGACAAAGGCAGTGCTTCAGCCAAACTAGTGTGAAAATCAGTTACAGTACAATGATTACCTTCACATGCCTCATTCCTCCTTGACTAAGAGTCTCCTCTTTTTGTCATTACCATGGCTGACTATGACTTATTTAACCAGTAGGCTAATTTCACGCAAATTTTTATCACTAAGTGTGTAATTTTTTTCAGTCTGTTCCCTCTAAGACCAGTCTTGATAAATAACCAGGAGGCATGAATTACCCTTAAAGAACAAGCAACTCAGAAATGCTTTCAGCTTTTTAGCCAGTGGTAAATCAATATTAAGTCATACCACAGAGCCTCTCAATCTACTTACAGAGGTTATGTCCTATTAAGCTGTAATTTATAACGGACTGTTGCTTTCAGTTGCCTCGAAGTTCAGAAGAGGGGCATACTAAGAGCATTAACAGCCACAGGAGATGACCTATGAGAATAGAAGTTCCTCTTCAGAGGTGAGATAAAAGCACATTAGAGACAAGAAATGGGAAGTGTTACTCTAGATTTAGGTAGGTTTTCCAAGTAAAACAATACAATCTAGGTACAGAATACTTCTGTCTTACCTGATAGTCATCTCCATTAACCACTCCATCAACAGCACCTGTAATTAAGTGACTGTAGTTTAGCTATTTGAGAAAAGACAGAACAACCAGATTTATTGCTTTCAGTAACTTGTATGGAAAGCTTTACTAAAGTATCTAATGTACAACTTAGACAAGTGATCATTATGTGATACCATGCAGGGTCACTTCCTTATGTCTGCGCTTTTCCAGATATGCACAAGAAACCAACAAAAAAAAAAACCACTAATAAAAAGTCACTTCATCATGAGCTCATGCTTCAGGCTACATAAACAGCAGAGCAAATACTGCTGAGAAGTTGCTACAGACAGTTCTAAAGTTACTCCTCCCTATCTTAGAAGATAGCTACTAACCAACTACTCAGAAGCTGAGAAACACGACACTTTCACTGTTTTATTCTCTCCCTCAAAGACTAACAATTCTACAGCCAACACTTAGGAATTCTTATCCTTGTTTGGTTGCCTCCTAATTCCTAATCAGATCAAAAGATTCAGCTAGCATTCCTAGCAAAGTCACCTTTCTGTAAAGGCATGTGTCACAGTTCAAGCCAATTGCCTGGGCTGACAACAGAGAACCATTTCTAGTTCAGAAGAACAGAGAACAGATCACTTGCTCACTCCTTCCCCCATCTCCACAGGGATGTAGAGGGAGAAAACTCAACCAAAAAGGCTCAAGGATTGAGATTAAGGACAGGGAGGGTAATAATCTAACATTTAAGATGACAGGTAAAAAGACCAGAGAGACTTGGTGAGAAAACAGATCTTAATTTACCATCACCTTGCAGGATAGTGAGAGGAATACATAAATAAATACAACCCGAACTTAAATACACTCCCCCTCCACCCCTCAAATCAGTGCAATCAGGTCCATCTGGCCATTACTCATCTTCCATAGCAGCTCCTCCTTCCTGAGAAAGAGGGCTCCTCACAGTCTTCTCTTGATGTCCACCTCACAACAGGCAATCCTCTTCCTTCTCGTGAGTCTACTGGGGCCACAGATCACTCTGGGCACATCCTCCACTGATGCCCCATCTCTCCCCGCTCTTGCACAGTATTCTTCACATACCCCCCACATCCTGGACATTCTCACCACCGGCTATCCTTTCAACTGGCAGAGAACCATCTTCCTGCTATCTCAGCCATGACAGGCTGAGAACCCAGGGAAAGGTTCTGCTCCAGTGGCCTTCTCCCTCTCCACCTCCTCCGGGACCCTTTACCCCTCTCTTTCTTCTCAGGATCACATTCCTTTGGTCTCTTCTTATCTCCTCATCCTCCAGCAGAAAAACTCACCAAACAAAAACAGGACAGATCAAAACTAGACAAAACCAGAAGAGAAAGAGAACAGTGGGTTCGCCTCTTAAATACCTGGATCATTGCAGAGGCACTGACTGGCCTGACCCTAGTCAAAGGCAGGTTCAACTCCTACCTGGGGGTGTGGAAGGTTCTCAAAGTTTCACAAGCCATCCCACACAACTCCACCCCTGCTTCTTAAAATCCCATCAGACTCAAGCTCATGACAACATTTGTCAGCTTCCTACTTCAGCTGCAGCATTATTCTCTCTGAAGTGACTCTGGCTGCAGAGCCTCAGTAAGAGAGGCTGCTAAGAATCTTTGCTATAGAACACTAAAATTCAGCTGTATGGAGATACATAGCAGTTGTGAAACAAACATTTGTCTTTGTGAATCTCAATTCACAAACAACAACATTGTCAAGAATCACTGAAGACAAGGATCATGACCACCTGAGGAACCTGAATATACACAAGTTGATGGGACCTGATGAGATGCATACTAGAGTCCTGTGGGAATTGGCTGATGTAGTTGCAAAGCTATTCTCCATGTAATTTTTAAAAGTCATTACGGTCATGAAGACAGTGAGTGGAGGCAAGTTCATGGTCAGGGCAGCAGGTGAACTCTCTCCTTGCCCACCTTGCCCAGGTGCCTCTGAACAACAGATGTGAGGATCTGCCTGAGGAAGGCCAGTCAATGAAGATGTGGATGATGGGCAGTCTGCACCAGAGGTATCTCCAAGGTCAGACAGGTCCACCACCCGTATCACTATCACATCCAGAAGGAAGAAAAGAGGGGTTATATTTGTAGGTGACTCCCTTCTAAGGGGAACAGAGGGTTGAATATGCTGGGTAGACCTTCCTCACAGTGAAGTCTGCTGTCTCTCTGGAGCACAAGTTAAGGACATAACCAGGAAACTTCCTAGCTTGGTAAGGTCCTCAGACTATTACCCACTACTGATTTTCCATATAGGTGGAAGCTGCAACTTGTAGTCCAAGCAAATCAAAAGAGACTTCAGGGCCTTGGGATGGTTGCTGAGGGAATCTGGGGCACAGGTTATTTTTCCCTCTCTCCTTCCAGTGGTGGGCTGTGACATTGAAATGAACAGATCACATGGCTTCACTGCTTCTGTCACCACCACAGTTTGGGTTTTCTGACAATGGGATGGCCTATACAGCACCAAGCTTGCTGGTGTCAAATGGGAGACACCTTTCCCAAAGTGGGGAGAGGGTCTTTGCTCAAGAGATTGTGAGGCTGATCGACACAGCTTTTATCTAAATGTGAAGGGGGAGGGGGACAATATCAGGCTTGTCTGGGCCAAGCTGTGGGGTGACATACCAGGCAGGGTTAGACGGACAGAGTGCTAGTAAGGGCTTTCAACCTGTTGCCCTGAGGCACACTGGGGACATTGTAGCACAATTCAAGTCTTATGGAGATGAGCCAGGGGCTCCTGAGGTCATAGGAGCCATCAGGGAAGCATCCGAGAAACACCTCAAGGGAATTAAGGGGTGTTCCTCTAAGAAGGTGACTCAGCCAACAGCCCAGCTGAAATGCCTCTACAAGAATGCAGGCAGCACGGGCAACAAACAGGAGGAGTTGGAAGCTACCATGCTGGCTGTTACTGAAACTTTGTGGGATGAAGTTTATGACTGGAGTGTGGCTGTTGATGGCTACAAGCTGTTGAGAAGGGACAGGCCAGGAAGGAGGAGCAGAGGCACTGCCCTCTATGTTAAGAGATGAATAGAGTGTGAAGAGATATCCCTAAAGAATAGCCAAGAGCAAGTGAAAGGTTATGGGTAGGAATTAGAGACCAAGGGAATAAGGAGAATCTTGTGGTTGGTGTCTACTACCGGCCTCTCGATTAAGGGAGGCCTACTGACAAAGCCTTCTTACTTAAGCTACAGGATGCATAGTGCTCACAGGCTCTCATCCTACTTGGAGACTTCAACCACTCCAACATCTGCTGGAGAAGTAACATAGTGAGCTGTAGGCAATCCAAGAGACACCTGGACTGCATGAACCATGACTTCTTAAGCCAGGAAACAGACAGCCCTACCAGAGGGGATGTGATACCAGACCTGATGGTCACCAATGCAAGTGAGCTCATCAGGGATGTGAGGATCGGATGCAGCCTGAGCTGCAGTGATCATGCACTAGTGCTAAGTCCTAAGGGATACAAGTCAGACAAGGAACATAGTCAGGATGCAGAATTTCAGGAAAGCAGAATTCCAGCTCTTCAAGGAGTTAGTCAATAAGACCCCCTGGGAAACCATCCTCGGGACAAGGGAGCAGAACAGAGCTGGCAGATCTCTAAGGACACTTTCCATAGAGCTCAAGAACTCTCCATGCCCAAGTGTAAGAAATCAAGCAAGTCAGGGAAAAGACCAGCATGGCTGAGTCAAGACCTGCTGGTCAAACTAAAAGGCAAGAAGGAACTGCACAGGCAGTGGAAGCAGGGACAGGTATCTTGGGCAGAGGACAAGGATGCTATGTGGTTGTGTAGGGATGAGGTCAGGAAGCCCAAGGCATGGCTAGAGCTGAACTTGGTAAGGGTTGCAGGGAATAACAAGAAGGGCTTCTACAGGTATATCAGCCCGAAAGGGACAGGTATCTTGGGCAGAGTACAAGTATGCTGCCTAGATGTGTAAGGGATGAGGTCAGGAAGGCCAAGGCACAGCTCAAGCTAAACTTGAAAAGGGACACAAAGAGTAACAAGAAGGGCTTCTCTAGACATATCCACCAGAAAAGGAAGGTTAGGAAGGTTAAAGAAAGTGTACCTCCTCGATGAGGAAGACTGGTGAGCTAGCAACAGCAGAAAAGGAGAAGGCTGAGGTTCTCAACAGCTTTTTTGACGTGATCTTCACTGGCAACCTCTTCCCTCTCTCCTGAGTTGAAGGACCACAAGATGGGGACAGAGGGGTCAAAGTCCCTCCCACTGCAAGTGAAGATGAGGCTTGTGACCACCCGAGCAACCTGAACATACAAAGTCCACGGGACTGGATGACAAGCATCCCAGAGTCCTGGGCAGAACTGGCTGCTGTAGTTGCCAATCATGTCAGCCAGGTGAAGTCCCTGGCAACTGGAAGAAGGGAAACACTGCAATCATTATTTAAAATGGTAGAAAAGAAGACCCCAGGAGCTACCAACCTGTCAGCCTCACTTCTGTGCCTGGAAAGATCATGGAACAGATCCCCATGGAAGCCCTACTGAGGCACATGAAGTACAGGGAGGTGATTTGAAGCAGCCAGCACAGCTTTACCAAGGGCAAGTCCTGCCTGACCAACCTAGTAGCTTTCTAAAATGGAGTGACTACATCAGTCGACAAGTGAAGAGCAATGGGTGCCATCTATCTCAACTTCCACAAAGCCTTTGACCTTGTGGTCCCCCACAACATCCTTCTCACTAAGCTGGAGATGCAGATTCAATAGGTGGGCTGTTTGGTGGATAAGGAATTGGCTGAATGGTTACATCTAGAGGGTAGTAGTCAACAGCTCAATGTCCAGATGGAGAAGGGTGTCAAGTGGTGTCCCTCAGGGTTCTGTACTGGGACCAGTGCTGTTTAATATCTTCATGAATGACAGAGACAGTGGGGTTGAGTGCACCCTTAGCCAGTTTGCAGGTGACACCAAGCTGAGTGGTGCAGTCACCACACCAGAGGGTTGAGATGTCCTGTAGAGGCACCTGGACAAGCTGTAGAAGCAGGCCTGTGTGAACCTCATGAGGTTCAACAA